CTGTTATTCTGCTGTTATGCTGCTGTTATGCTACCATTATTTGGTGGATATAGGGTAGAATAATGGCAGTTTTTTTTCCTGTTATTTACCTATTATTTACTCTTTATTCATTCGTTCAACCTGTGAGAGTTTAAGTAAAGTATAGCAATTTAATAATTAGTCCTGACTGCAAATGCTAATCTAGTTTAAAGTAATATCAAGTTAACTGTAAGTATAGAATACAAAAAAACTTTAGTAGGTTAAATACAAAGTCAAAAGTTTCTTATATAAGTAACCTTTTTAAAAATTTTTGTTTTTTTTTTGTTTTTTTTTTTATAGTTAAAATTCCTGTCTTGAAGATGTGACATTTTTATTCAAGTATATAGAACACAGCATGTTTCTAGAGACCATCTGTATATTGAAGATTACAACTAGCTATACGTGCACTTTTGGTGTCTAATTTAAGTAGTCTGCTTACATATTGCTATATAAGTTCTATACTAGTTGCTATGCTTGCAAGCCAACTAGGAGTCTTGTCTATTTAAACCCTTTGTATATGCAATCCTTCTTGTATCATAAGAACATTTTAAGGTTACATCCATCCAAGTTCCTAATGCTAGTCATTACCCTTAGGACTATTTTATTCTTGACAGAAACTTACTAGAGCTTTTATGTTCTATACATACAGATCTAGTTTTATATAACATGCTATAGTTATCTAACACTTGCAGTTATAGGGGTTATCTGTTTAATCACTATGTTACACTATTTCTATTCTTGTAAAGTTCAGTAGAACCCTAGTACCTATTTTCTCAGCATCTTTTTCATTATTCTTTACTAGTCATAACTTGAAACTAGCAGTTTCTTTCAGACTACTAATTAAGATAACCAATATAATATACTTTTATATTCTTTTCTTCTGATAAATCTGGCAGTTTGGTTAGTTATATGCTTCTCTACATATATTTAATGTCCAGTTTAAACTACAGTTTCTATGAAGATGTTTCATGAGCTTCAACTGGTCTGATAGTATCATCAAAACTTCATGCTATCTCTTTACTTAGGAATTTCCAAGTAGATTTCTGTTATCTTGATTTCTTAGTCTTTTATGCTCAGTGTTCTTATTGTGAGTTTGCACTAAAGTTTTATACAATACTAGTTATACATTTTTCTATATACATGTAATATTACACTTCACATAAATGCCCTAAGCTTCTAATATCAATAAAACCTAACTTGGTATATTTGGGTTACAGCCAAAAGAGGTCAACTGATTAACAAAAAACAGTTACTATAATGCAAATATAATTTTCAAATTTTGTTATAAGTGGGATTTGAACCTTAGACCTGCCACTTGGAGGATGACAACCCAATTACTACATTAGAATCATCATTCTTGTTTTTTAAAGATTTTGTAATTATAATATATTTGTATTTTTTTTTTTTTTTTAAATATTAAGGTGAATATTTTAATCTAGGATTTTATTAATAGTATATTTGGCTAATAGTTATATTACAACCACAAAGGGCAATCATGAAAAAAGTATACAACTAGCCACTTGTATAACTTTAGTTATTATCTAATTTAAGTAGTCTGTTTAAAGATTTTACACTAGCTGTTATACCTGGAACCTGCTTGTAGGTTTTCTATTTAACTACTTTGGTTTTCATATCCACTCACTTACTTTTGCTTATCAATGACCCTGGCTGATGCCAGTGAAAATATGTCATAGCTACTAAGTCTTTAAAGCAGTTATTTGGAACCTTTAACTTTGTACTAAACCTTCTAAAATCTTCTGTATTTCATTTTTACAACTGACCTAGTATTACTATAGTCAAGACTAATATTGACAATTAGGACATACTATTAAACTGCTATGTCTTTGTAAAATTCATCCCAATTTTGATACTAACTTCACAACATATCCTTATTACTTTGGTATTCAATTCAAGTTTCACTAAGCTGCCATTCCAAATAGTCTAAAAAGATAGATCGAAACTATACATCTTTGGTTTATATATTTGCCAATATATATACTTTTTCTTTGAAACTCAGAAATTTCGATAACCTGGTTAGTTTATCCAGTTTCTTCTTACAAACTGGCACATTTGTTCAGTTTTATAAGTTTTAATTCCATTTTATAAGTTTAGTCTTTACAGTAGCACTGTCAAAAGTTCAGGTTATTTTTCTATTTAGGTCTTCTAAATAGGCTTCTATTTTTCTACCTAGTTTCTGTAATTTACATGATTTAAAAACTTATTTTGAGTTTATATTGTTTAGTACCAGTTTGTGTTTCTTTGTACAATGTTGTATAAATGCCTACACCTTCTAGTCATGCTAGTATAACATGGGTTACAGGTATCTTATCCTAACTAATCACAGAAGACAGTTAACTATAATATAGAAAGAATTGCAAATTTTTGTCATTACTAGAATTTGAACTTTAGAGCTGCCACTTAGGGGTTGACAATCTATTCATTTTACTAAGTTGCCATACCCCTATTAGAATAGTTGGTAAGATAGATAGATAATAAATATAAAACTAAAATGTTTAAATAGAAAATCTACAAACAGGTTCTAGATATAACAAACTTTTAAGTAGATTACTTAAATTAGACAATAACTAAAGTTGTATAAATGTCTAATTGTATATTCTTTTTATAGTTACTTTTGTAGTTGTTGTTTTTTTTTTTCAGTATTAAGATGATCTCTTTGGTTATAGCTTTTTATTAATACTTATATCAGTATATGTTTTATATAGACGTATCTATAATGAACTATCAGATGAGTGTACAACTAACTATGCATGTAATTTTTCTATATTACCTATTTAAAGAGTCCACTTAAAGGTTCCTTACCAGTTGTCATACCTAATACTCCTGCTTAGATGTTCTATTTAAACCTTTTGATCTGATCCTGATATTAATTTCATCAGATTACAGACCCAAATCTATTTGCTTTTAACTATAGAACTATAATCCTTAGACTATTTTTATCTTCAAGATAAATCTACCAGAGTGAGTTGTATTCTCTTTTACTGCTAATCTGATTTGATGCTATAGCCAAGACTAATACTTGCAGTCAGAGTTATCCCTTAAATTGCTATTACTCTTGTAAAGTTTATCCAAACCTTAGTACCTATCTTTTTGACTTCTTCTTCATATCTCTTACTAACTACAACTCGGAACTAACAATGAACTTCCTTAGACTTCCAATCCAAATGGCCTAGTATGATATACTTATATATTCTTTTCTTCTGATAATTCTGATAGCCTAGTTGATCATGTACTCTTCTATATATTTTGTCATCTAATTTATCTAACAGTTCCTATGAAGATGTTTTATGAACTTCCATCAGGTTAATGATATCATTGAAAATTTGTGCTATCTCTTTACTTGGGATTTCCAAGTAGATTTTTATCTCCTCAGTTTCTTAGCCTTTTATATCTAATGGTTTTATTATAGGTTTGCATCAAAGCCTTATTTGACACTGGTTTTTACATTCTTCTATATATGTGTAATGTTACACTTTGCATAGATGCTCTGAGCTTCCAATGTCAGATGAGGCCTGACTTGGTGTACCTAAGATTACAGATGTCCAAAACCCAACCAATTGACAAGAGACAGTTACCATAACACAAGTATAATTTCCAAAATTCATTATTCATAGGAATTGAACCTTAGACCTGCCACTTGAGGGTTGACAACCTATTCACTTCACTAGGTCACCACACCTCTTCTGTAGTTGTTGTACAAATAACTATTAGCTAAAACATATTATTAATAAAATTTTAAATTAAAATACTTTAACATTAGAAAAAAAATCTAATTTTAATCAAATATAACTTTAGTTAATTTAAGTTAAAAGTTCAAGTTTTTTAATAATTATTTAAATATAAAAATGTTGATCAAATAAGACCTCTATCAATAGAAATAATTAAGTTCAGTTAAGTTCTGATAGATTCTAAGTAAATTAATAATTTTTATGCTGATTTTTTATTTTTTAGTTCTTAATTAAAATTATTAATTACAAAATTATAAACAATTTTACTTATAAGTATAAAGCAAAAAAAATTTCTTTAAAGTTTATAAATTTTTTAGAATATTAATTTAAAACCTAAGTTCTAGGATCTAGGTTCTAAATAAATATTTTAAAAAATTTATAAACTTTAAAAAATTTTTTTTTGCTTTATACTTATAAATAAAATTGTTTATAATTTTGTAATTAATAATTTTATTAAGAACTAAAAAATAAAAAATCAGCATAAACATTATTAATTTGCTTAGAACCTCTATTTACCAGTGACTCTAAATATATACTTTAAGCATGGCATCATTTTTACAGCCATTTGTATACATACAAATTTATTCATTTTTGATTTAACGTTAAATAATAAATTAAATAGATAGAAATACATAGATGTGATCTTCATGGCAGCTTAATTTTGTAACTTGTTTATACCACACTTCTTGAGTATTCCACTGCTAACGTCTCTATTCTTCCCTACAATAAATTGCCAAATATTCACACGTTTCCGATTCGTCATTTGAATAATGAATAAGGAATGGTACTGCTGGTTGTGGTACATACGTGATTCTTACACATTATAGATCCCATATTCTTAAAACGGTAAATTTAATACCATAAAAGGGCTTAACCTATATACACAAAATTTTATAAAACTCGTTTTCGGCATCTTATATGAAAACGGTCAACATTGTACTTACCCTTAATATTTGAAAGTCTTTCAAGAGTTGCTACAACTTGCATTATTTCAGGTCTGTGGGGCCGATACCACGCCCACATTTTACGTACCAATTTGTTGAAAATGTGATATTCATCATCATAAGGTAATCCATCTCGCCCTTTTTGATCAACCACATATTGTTTAAGCAATCTATCTGGTATGTGTGCGTGCGGTAGGGTCCCCCGACCATCAGTAATTTCCCAGAACAATATGGCCATGCTATAAATATCAGATTTAGAGTCCAATTTACTCTGTGGTGGGTTTAATAATTGTTGTGGCTCCATCCATCGATTACGTAAGATATGTTTATAGTTTGCGGGAGGAGATACTAATGTATGTTCGCCATCGAGTTTTCGACTCCAAAGAAAATTTGAGAGTTTAGCCTTTTTATCAGAATTCAAAAGTATATTATGGCTACGAATGTCCAAGTGTATGATTCCATTCTAAAAAAACAAATCGTAATTAAATCGAAGAATACACATTTTAATAGATAGTGTTTACAACCTACTTCGTGCAAAAAGCTTACAGCTTTAGCAATATCTAAAGCTAATCCAATTTTAAACTGCCAACTCATTCCCTTTTTATCCACTGTCTTATATGCTTTCATATACTGATACAAATTTCCGTCCTGTGCCCACTCCATCAATAAACATGGTGTATTACTTTTCACAGTCACACCGAAAAACCCAATTATATGTTCACAGGGAGCTAGGTATCGTTTGAACAAATAAATTTCTTTCTCCACACTATAAAGTATATCCAAATTTATGGCATTCTTGAGCAGACGTTTTTCTGCTACCATGTTATTATCTGTTTTACTTTTTACTACACAGAAGGTGGAACCATGCCTTTTATTAACGTTTGAAAGTTCTTTAATTTTACTTGTGGGTATATAAGATTCACGCAAGAGTGTAGTTGAAAGACAGTGGTCTCGGATTTGTTTGATATATAATTCATAAAGTTCATTTATACGAGTAATCCACGTAGCAAACTTATCATCTTCATACCTTAGAAAAGAATCATCATATGATACTCTGGATCCTTTGAACCCAGGAAGTATAATGTTCGCCGATTTATCGATCAATTCTGACATCAATTTTATCATATTCACCTTGTACTCCTCCCTTAATCTTATATAATTATGGATATTAGCATGACAAATTTTAATAAGTGTAAAATGATTGTGTTGAGTACGGTGTAACTTTTAAATATTATTGACTTGCATACTTTATAATATCTTGTCGGTCTTTCCTAGTACTGGCCCAAAGAGTCTTCTTTGCTATTACATTAACATATTATTTAAATGAAAAATTTATATTTGTAAATAATAATAATAATAATGACATACCGTGGTTGCGATGAACTTGGTAACTCAATAATCGTAATAGAAGCTCATTGTATTTTTCTAATGAATCCGCAAAAAGTTCCCTATCATTAACGGTGGCATTACCATCTTGAAACCATAATTCAAGAACATCCATAGTTGAGGTAGTAATATTTTTGAATTCGTTAATAAGTTTTGGACGAAAGCTTACATTTTCAACAATATCACTTATAATTGCCCTAACATTATTGACAGGAATGCTTTCCTCGTCTGCAATATGTGAAGAGTGCGAAACATTTGAACCTGATGCCAAGAAATTTGCCTCATAAAGCTGGTCATGTGAATGACGTTCACAAATCCAAACAAAATCATTGGTATCATTACGACGAGCTTCAATAAGACGTCCAGGGATTATATTTGTGCTGTTAAAGTATTCTAAGTTTTTTTTTATTATTATTATAAAACTCAATATCGATATCAAATAATTTTATGTTATCAGAAAAATCTTAATGTTCGTATATAAACCTTTCAATTCACGAAGCCCGAATGAATTAAGTATATAATAGTGAGAGGCATCATCATCAAGATCAAGAACTTCAACTTGACTATTGGTGACTGGTGGAAGTTCATTCGCTATTTGATGTATCTGATCTCCAATTTTAGCGATGTGATTTAAAAGATTTGAAGACTTGGGAACATGAAACAATTTTGTGACATGATCTATTATTTCTTGAGGAAATCTGTCATACGTGGTCCTAGCTGAAACCAGGTGTTGACTTTAAAATAACGATGGATCAGTTTGACAAAATAAGCTAAGCCACGAAAATCATAAATTTAGCTTACCAAAATTTAATGTACGCGCCAAATTTCTTCATAAACTCTAGGGGATTTTGGATGCAATAACCCTTATGCTCATGAACATGTGGTGTAACGTGCTCGCATACAAAATATAATCGAAATGATTGTGATGTCCAGGTTCTAAAAATAACACGAAAAATTAATTCAAAAAAAGATATTTACATACATATATAATTTGTTATAATTTTTACTCAAATTTTAAAATTAAAATTAGAATATTACGAATAGTGATAGATAGAGTTTGAATTAGAATTAACGAATAGTGATAGATAGAGTTTGAATTAGAATTAGGGTTAGAGTTAAGGCTAGGATAAGGTTTCTTATAGTGCTGAGAATTTTTACTTAGTGCTTATTTAAGCCGGTTTTAAGTTAAATATAATATATTAAATAATAACCTTGGATTTTTCCAAGATGGACTGACGGGAATAACGATGAATAAACGTGGTATTTTTTCACTTCGTAACTTGAAAAGCTGTAATTGATCGATTATCACGTGATAAACATAATGCAACATTAACATATAGGGAAATTCTATTTTGACCCGGGTCAAGAATGACCCCTTCTAAAATTTAGAGTTAGTGTGGGCCGAAATTATTTTGATGCCGGCCGAGGTTTTTAAAACTCGGCTAGCATTAACGGCCCGCACTAACCCTAAATTGTTGGGGGGTCATTTACCCAGGTCAAAATAGAATTTCCTTAACATATATATATATCATCAAAAAATTACCTGCGGACTGATTTTTTCCCATTCCTGTGGAATGAGACTCATGAGTTGCTTGTATTTATCTTCCTCTTCTCTGTCTAACAGAATGATCGCGTTTATTATATCTTCGTTATCCTCAGAGGAATAATATATAGTTTTCTGTTGCAAGTAATTATACAAACATTAAAGTTTCGCGATAAATAAGTCTTTACAGATACATTATCTGAATTACAAACAAACCTTGAATTGCGTTAATGTCATTCTTTGTTTCTTCGGTTTTAATAAATGATTTATAATGTCCCTTTTATTAATATCATCAATATCATCGACGTTTACGGTGAGGGATTCCTTAGACCGAAGAAATTCTAACTTTTCTATTTTTGTTAACGGTGGCCCAATTGACCATAAATCCCTTCGTTTCCAATAATGATGTCCGGTTTCCATAAAAAAAAGAGCTAAGCCAAAGGAAAACATATCCATTAATGGGTGTGCTTTCTTTGTTTTGCCGACAAAATCAGCTTTTGCGACTTCGGGACTACAATAATTTACGGTATTTATTGTTGTCGGGGCCGATATTTTACGTGATGTGTCGAAATCTATCAACTTCCACGTCCCAAGATTTTCAGCACCCTGATGGAATAAAACAATGCTCTTTGGTGTCAAATTTGTATGAACTGACAAACAGATGCACCAATTTTCAGATAACATTAAATAAAGTTTGCAACAATAAGACGCAATAAAGAACTATCTGCTTACTTATCCCCTTTTTATGGCATTGTTCCAATCCCGCGACAACATCCTACATAACACAAGTCACATGATTAATAATGACACAAGCGAGAATAGGAGCGTAAAGCTTTACATACTAACCTTTACGATTTTTTTCTTCATCTCATCAATATGTTGACGACTTTGAATCCAAGTCGGTTTTCGAATGTAAGTTTGTAAATCGCAAATACCATGTTCGAGGACAATAATTTTTTCCGTCTCAAGAATTTCAATCAATTGGACTATATTCTATTTACAAGTAATTATCAAATATGTATATAGTGGTAAGCTAGTGTCAAGATATCCAACAAGGTTTAATAAAATACGGCTATGCCTTTATTCTATGTATCTAGTCGGAAGAAGAAAAAAAAATACATTTTCAACCTGAGAATTTTTCAAAAGGGTCAAAATAGCAGCTTCATATTTAAAGGCAGCTTCGTCTTTAAAGAATTTTAGAGCGTATTCCCGGGAATCTTTAATTGCTTTGCACACGTTGTTCGTACTTCCAGAGTACCATTCTTCAGTTATAGTATATCCATGGATTACTGCGGAAAGTAACAAACGATATTTGTTATAATAAAGCAGACCATTGGGCACGATTATGTACAATTTTCTTTTTATTAAGAAAAATATCATTTACAAAAAAAAACCCCAATAATATACTGTACAATATTGTTATTACTCGTTGAGGCTATAAGATTAGGTGGTAATGCAAGCAGTATCTTACCTTCTTCAACCGCAGGCTGCAATAAAGGAGTGAGTGGAGGTTGTTGTAGTGATATCGATATTGAAATGTCCGTATCATTTTTCTTATGACCCTTTTTAATCCATCTAATGAATTTTCCAACCATTTTAACCATAGTTATTTTATTAATACAAACGGAAGAAAATAAAAATCTATTGTTGATGAAAACATCAACCACGCAAAATGACGAGGAAGGACCACCTGCGAAAATTGTTAAAAATACCAACTATATATATACATCGAAAAATAAAATCAGCGTATTTATGTGATACCTGCCATAAAAAAAACGGCCCAAATTCTGCACTATTAGCGTTTAAACCTAAGCAATCGTCAATTCGGGTGATAGTCTTGTGATATATACTGAATTTATTGGTTTAAATAAATTATTTAATTAAAATCATACAAACCCCACAAACCAGGCTGAGAGTAAGTATCAACTTTTGAAACATGCTTTTATCCGTAAATATGTAAAGGAATACCATGTTTGGGTTGATGTGATTATAGGGATATAAATTATAGAGTTTGCACAAGGTGCGGGGTAAAGGAGATAAATGATGTATTTATTGTTAATGTTTAAAATGCTTTTGGCTGTCACATCAGAAACGTACAAATCCAAGCAAAAGATATTCTTTTACATTAATACTACTGTGGAAGAAAAACAATGGCAAGTCAATGGAAGGTTAATGAATTTATAATCACATGAATTTATTGTTAAATTGTTACCGTTACTGTTACCAACGTAACGGTAATGGAGCATTAATGACCGTTTGTTATACAAACAACAAACAGTCGCAATAGTTGCAGAACTCGTAGTAGTAGGTAATAGAAAAAAATCAAAAATAAACAGGATAGGCGATGATCTTCCATCGTACTATTCGACTCCACTTATTTCTTGAAAATCAAGATGAATAACATGAGTGCGCACCAATAACATATTGACATGCAATAATTTCTATTCTTGCTAAATTCAGTACAAGTATTGTTCTAGAAGTTATCGTAAGGTTTCTCGATTTTTCCGGTCAAGCAGGTATCCAAACTTTGATTCCCCAATGTTACTCAAAGTAATTCCTTTTAGCAATTTCCGTGAGAATATTCTTGAACGTGCATCAATTTTGGTGTATAAATGTATATATGCTATACAATAATTAGAAATCGATATATTTATAATTGACCAATTAAATTGTAAAATCTGCTATTGGCTAAAATAATTTATATATTTAATTCTCTTAATTGATAATTATTATTTATTGCAGATGCCCTTAATAATTGGATCAAAACAAAACAAACCATCACTAATTAGAGATAAGATTAGAGTTTGAGTAAAGCAATAGTTGAAAGATTTTTTAACTTAAAATTTTACAAGAAATTTCTTTTGTTAAAATAAACAAAAAGGTTTTATAAATAGAATTTAGTCAGGAATATATTAAATTAGAAATTACATTTTAAAATAATTTACAAATAGATCTTTATTGGCTTTTATATATCTTTTATTTTTCAACATTTAGAAAAAAAATTTTAATAATTGTTAAAACTTTGAAGTATTTGATATACTATTAGATTTTTTTTTAATATTAAGATAACTTTTTTAGTTTTTTGACTTTTATTAATGATTTTTTTGGTGATGTGTTTCTGTGAACTATTACAGAAGAATGTACAATTGATTACATATATAACTTTTTTATATTATCTATTTAAGAAGTTTACCTAAAAGTTTCTTACTAATTGCTATATTTAATATCTTTGCTTAAGTATTCTATTTTAAACTCTTTGAATTTGCAACTTGTATTAATATTACTAGGTCATATCCAGATGCTCAGATTATTATCTTAACTTTAGAATTATTTTATCTTTAAGATAAACTTTCTAAAATCTTCTGTATTCATTTTTACAGTTAATCTAATATTGCTATTGTTACAGGGTTATAGCCTTCTTAGTACAATACAATTAAGTAACAAGATCACTCAGTATAGTGATTGACTATTGCAAATATATATGAGATGGTGGTGTAGTAGTTTATTTTACTACATAGTAGCAGGCAAATAGTTCAAGATAATAACAGTATATAGATTAACTTTTATTAAATAAATATACAGTGACAATCTTGTCTGTAGAAATTATTCTAGAAGATGAATATCACTTTTACAAATTAGGAATAAAGGTAGAAAGGTCTAGATTGAAGTATAGAAACTTAGAATTAGTAAAGAAGGGTAAAAACTACCCTTTATATATCATTTTACCTAGTGAAGATAATAGGGATTCGAGCAATATTATTTGATACTATACTCAGAGTAATGGGAATTCAAACAACATTAGATATCATTGTAGTTGAGATAGTGAAGGTTTGAACAATATTAGATAATACTGTGCTTGGGATAATGGGAACTGTGCAGAAGCAACTGAGGATATTGTTTATATTATTTATCATTCATGCTTGAAACACTTAGAGCCTGTGTTTAGCCACTTGGATCTATACAAAGATACTTGAGATTTGTGCAAAAATACTTAGAGTTCATGTGGAGACACTTGGGATTCATGTCAGAGATACTTGGAATTCTTGTACTATGGCATTTGGCATAGTAATTTGGTACTAGAATATATGAAACTTGTACAGGAGTATTTGGAGTTTGTAAGACAATAGTAACATCACAGATATTACTTAGTATCATGTGGCTGTATCACATTTTTAATAGCCAATTAAGATCCTTTTATCTATCTATTATATAATATAACTATCAACTAACTAATAACTAATAACTTAATAATAAATATAATATAAAATACAAAAATGAATATATATAACTACTAATACTACTATATAATATACTATGTTAAAATTTACTTTGTAACATTTTTCTCTTCTTAAAAATTTTGTTCCATAAAATTCTCATGACTTTTGTACCATTTACAAAAGTTAACTAATTGATTAAACTTGGTTCCATTCATATCACCAATATGTTTTAGAGTCAGTTTCTTTGTTCGATATATTTGTTCATAACCAATGGCTTTAAACAATTGATAGGTTCTAGTCTAGACCTTAATTCTACTTGCCTTTATAAACTTGTTATGGTCCGATTTTTCTAATAATAGGGCTCCTAAATGATAGCTGTAAGCTAAGCAATATATCTAGTTATAGTTAGATGAACATGCAATTAATCAATATTTCTTATTAATTTTGGTATAACAATTTTTCCATAATGTATTAATAGTCATTAGTACAGTAACTAGAAAAATCTGGTTTAGTATTGTATTTAGTAGATTCATTTTTATTTTGGTCAACAGATCATCATTACAGGTTGTTGATAATACGTATAAGGTTTCCATATTAAGAATAAGAGTAGTACTATTAGCTTCATATATAATAGTACCTGAGTATTAAACCTGTTTACAGAGGTCTTGTAATTTAAGGGCTTTGTAATAAATTTGCAGGATAACCCATGTTGGTAGGTCCTGTGGTGGGTTCATTGTTATTAAGATTATTAAAAGATTTAGTTCAAAAGTATAGAGAAAATTAATATTAAAGGAAGGTATTTTTTTGATCTTTTTATATCTGTTAAAATTCTCTTCATGCTCCTATGCCAAGCAATCTTTGGTACAGTAATTTGTAATCTGTTTAACCCATGCTATCTCTTATTAATTTTGTTTAACTTATACTGTTTTACACTTAATAGCAGTTAAATTTGTTAAACACATGCTTCTTCTTTGTATTCTATTTATGGCTACATTGTTTACAATACATGTTAAACAAACCTTTGTTCTATAATTTGGCAAAAGTTGCATCACCACATGTCTAATCTGTTCTATTTTTATAATTAGATAAAATTTGCATCACTACATGTCTAGTCTGTTCTATTTTTGTAATTATAGTAGTTTTTGTGTCTCTCTTCTCTTAAAAAGTGAGATCTCCAAAGCTTATTTATTAATTTGTCTAAAATTGATAACTTTATTCTGATTAGTTTATCTATTTCTAAATATAGCAATCATATTGTTTCTGTTATGATTGTTCTTTGTCCATCAATAAAATTTCAATTTTCTGTTGTATCTGTTTTTGTTATTTATTCTGTCCAATTTTTTCATGTTTTGGTCTACAAAACTTCTTATTTTCTTTTCTTTTTCTACTAGTTTCCTTGTTGAAAAACCTTTTTCATCGATAAACTTGTCTTTTTATCTATTGTTTTTCGCTAAGGTGTATATACTTTTTAGGCTGTAAGCTTGTTCTGCCTAATATTAAGACACTTTAGGATAAGGCTGGTTATCTATTTGGGTAAGCTGAGCAGATAATCTGTTTTGGCCTCAATAAACAATTTTCTTTTTATTATTCTCTTTTCTTTTCTTGCAGTTAGGTGGTGGCCAATGCTTAACTGTTTTTAATATTTTTTTTTTATCATTTCAAGTATATTATTTAGAATATATATTTTAACTTTTTGCTTTATAGATGCCTCACCAAAGCAAAAGTCAAGCAATTTTTAGTTGTTTGTTCTTCTTTCAAAATTAAGTTGCAAATTTGAAGGCTGAAGCAAGTAAAAGGGCTCTACCGAATTTCGAAGTGATCCAACAAGAATGGCAATAAAGTACTATCTACAAGTGGGTAGTTATAGAAAGAAATTTGCTATGAGTTCAAGTTGCAAATTTAGAAGATGAGGTTCAGGAGTTGTAAAGAAAGTTAAGAGAAAGAGAGGGCCAAAGATATTTTTGTAATATTTTGTAAATAGTAATAATAATAATAATAAAATTCTATATTAAAT